TGGTTTTTTAGAAGTTTACGGAATTTCCTAAAAAACAAAAAAAAAATTCGTCAAAATCGGACAATTAGGAGCAAAGATATGGTCTCTAGTTTTTTTAGATGTGCTATTGCAAAAGGTTTATTTTTTTTTTTGGATTTCTGAATGTTTTACTGAAGTAATGCTATTTTTTTTTAGCATATTACTAATGATTAAAAAAAAATTTAGTCCAATAATTAGAATCACCTTTATTTATTTTTCTTTATAACTAGGAATTTAATGTTACTTTATATGTATAATTGTTTGGAAATAATATACCAAAGAGAAATAATTTGCAGTGGTTTTTTTCAAATTAATTATCGTTTTATATATATATATATATATATATATATATATATAAATCTTTCGTGCTGAAGCCCCTCCTCCAAAATTAAATCTTGATTCGGTAATGTATATACTATTATTAGAGCATAAGTTCGTATGTAATAATTTTCAACTTTAATTCTATGTGTATTAAAGGTGATATTTTGTAGTCTGCAACTGATATAAGTAGTCTGCTACTACGGAAAATAGCAGATGAAAATAAAATATGAAATTATTCTAATAAAGCATAAAGAAATATTGAGTTTTTATGCACTCTTGTAAAACAATAAATAAATTTATACATAAGACCTTTTGAACTAACATTATTGAAATTCATGTTCAGTATGCATGTTTATTTATTTTTTTATTAAGCATAATCAAGTATGGAATATTCAAATACGACCCTCTGTTGTTGAATGTTGAAGGGTAACTGTAATCGGCTATTCCGATTCTGCTTCTCTCAGAGATTTTATTCTCATACGAAAAATTGTATACCTTGTAATATACAACGGAAACGGTGAGGAAGCTATACTGACCTTACTTGGCAGACGTTTTCATGATATTTAAAGAGAAAATGTAAAGTGTTTCAATCAAAAGAAATATATACATATAGTAAAAAACATCTTTATTATTTGTAAAACTAATGAAATATACTACAATGAGAAAAGGCGAAGAAAAGACATTTCAATGAATTATATTTTATGAATTTTACGCATTTTTGAAATTTAATTAAAAACTAATTAGAACCTATATGGATTATAACTTGGTATAAAATAAATTTAATATAGTTTTTTATTTATTTTTTTACAACCAAGAAAAGAAATTAAACAAATCAACAGTGAGGATAATATATAAATAAATGAACTGTTATTTTCAAATAATTCATTTTTACTTTTGAATTTTATATTTATAAAATTGTCTTACATTTTAATATACATATATTTAAGAAAAAAAAATTGTAAACATATAAACTGAAAACTAGTTATCTGCAGCATGCCATGTGATAATTGAATAATGATGATTGAACAAATATACAAAATAATTAACTTATTTTCAAAGAAATTGCTCATACTTATAATTAATTATTAAAATAAATATTCAATATTTTATTAAAAGCTTGTTTAAAAAAATCTGGTGAGGGCAACACACAACTTTCACTTATCGCTCAACTTTGAATAGAGATTATTTTTGGCCATATCGGGCTATTATAAAATTTTTGAATTGCATTTTTAACTGAGCTGAAGCTAAAAAATTACAGCTAACAAATCATAAATACCATTAAAATAACCAAAGTCCTATTTATTATATCACCGGTTCATTATGGATCGTACGATCAATTGATTATGGATTCTAATAAAATTATTAAACTACAGTAAATATATTTAAGGTTATAAACATATGCATGAAATGATTTTATATTTTACTTCTTCTTTCACACAAGTACAATGAAATAGTTATTTAAACAATGTCATTGCCTTTATTAGGTGGATTTTAAATATTTCTTTCAATCTTAAAAATATTTTAAAAGGTTGCATTTAGTTAGTAAATTTCATTTAATTTCCTTGAAAACATGTGATTTACGTTAAATATTATTAGTTTTCAAAAAATATTATTTATAATTTTTTTTGCCAATCTCCGTTTCCTTTTACAACAATCTATATTAGATATAGTTTTTTCTAAAATTCTCCGCTTTCCAACGATATATTATACGTATATCTTCGGACTAGTATTTCCAGAGATTCATTTTCGACCTGGATAAGCATTTTTATTTTTTTCTCCTTTATTCAATCATCAAATTCATTCAAAAGTTATATTTAGCATTTTTTCACAACTTTTAATAATGAGAGATAATTGATTATTTAAAATAAACCATATTAAAGGTACTTTAGAGGAAGACGCATATGAACATTGGGCATTTAAGCCCTGTAAAGTGACATAAACGGGGATAAGGACTAAATTATATTATGGACCACTTAATTATACGATGATACACCGAGTTTAATCAACATCGTTAGAGCCGTTTTTGAGAAAATTGTAAAAATGTGTTTCAGCGTTAATATAAAATGGCACTTCCGGTTAGCCGATTTTAACGAAAAAGTTGCTGTCACATCCGGCCAGCTCGTATATCAGTTTCGTACCACTTTTCGTTTATGAGCTGGACTGTTAACACACACACAGACCATTTTGCGACACTTGGTTATTTGGACTCAGGGGACCTCAAAACACGTATTTCCGTTGAAAACTGAGATTCGAAAATTTTCACGATCGTAATACTTACACTTACTATGTATTTCATATATATGTAAGTGAAAGTAAAAACTATAAATTTAAAAAAAATTATAAATAATTCGCGATTTTTTTATAATCATCTAAATATACTGCAGATACCCCACTTTTAGAAAAATCTTATTTAATAAGCTTTAAGTCGATAATAATTTAGTACAGATTTATAAGGAAAAAACTTAAGATTCAGATCTAGTTGTGTAAAAAATTACGTGATTTTAAATCATGTCATCTAGATGTACCCGCTTATTAAAAAAAAAAATGACTGTACTAAATTTTTGTAAAGCTTTTATTTCTTGTTTTTCCAAGATCTAGGATGCATTATAATATAGATAATTGGTTTGATACACCTTCTATTCATAAAACAAAAAATATTTAAAATTATTATTTTTCATGTAAAGTGATTATGAAACTGTGTTTGTTTATCACCCAGGTTTCTATAATAGGAATCGATCCTTGTTTATTAAATCCGTTAAAGTGACAAACTAAATGTTCCTGATCCTAATATTTACGTTTTAATGAAAATGATTGAAGCGATCAGCAGATTTTTTAAAAAAATTAATTAGTAAATTTTGGGATTAGGTACATTTATTTCGTCACTTATAAATAGGAATCAATTCTTGTAATATAAATTTTAGTAAAAGAGACATTTCCGTTCTCACTATAAAAGACAAATAATTAATAAATCCTTATTTTTTAAAAATGTTTATGCATTTATATTAGTTATACATCCAAGATCATCGAAAAAAAAAAAGAAATTAAAGCTTTGCAAAAAGTTATTGTAGTCGTTTTCGCTGAAGATACGGGTACTTTTAGTTGGGGTATCTGAAGTAGTTAGAGGATGATAAAAAAAAAAAAATGCGGATAATTTAAGATTTTTTATAAAAACAAATCTTTGCTTAGTTTTTAGCTGCTTAAAAGTATCCTTAAAATGTTTTTAACAATGACAAAGTTTAGTTACATTCCTCGCATTTATCCTAAAGGGTCATTGGCGTTTTCTATAATTTATATTCTATTATAGTAATTTATAATCGTTGAAAATTCAAACACAATAGAGACTCGCTCTTCATTATCTTGTAGAAGATCTTTTGGTGTTTTTCCTAAATCTATTTTTTTTCTGTGTTTCGAATTGGGACATTTACCAGAAGTGTTTCAGTTGATGTATATTGCATTTTTAGCAAATAGCAGCTTCTAGACCTCTTAAAAGATCTATGTGTGAACTGGCAGTGCCCAATCCTAAGGCGGCACAATATAATTTCTTCACGCCTTGAACTTCTGTTGCTAGTGAGCCATTTATCGCAATTAGATTTCACTTCTTTCAGCTTACACTTTTTGATTTCCCAATCTTTTTCTCACTCTGCCAGTTGTTTTTCCTTTGTTTGGTATACCCAGTCTTCTAAAGAGATATATGAGAAGGAGTTAGTGGAGGATGCGTTTAAATAAATAAAAAATTAAAATATATTAATTATTTTAATTTTTACCGACGTTTCGACCCACTTTTCAGGTCGTCTTCAGGGCTACAAAAGATACAAAACATGTTGAAAATAAAAAATAAATATAAGTATATATAAAATAAGAAGAAGTTGTCAGATACAGAAATAAAAGATGGTATCAGAGATATAGTGGGTGACAATGTAGTTAAATATTAAGAATTATATATGTAGAAGATACAAATAAATGGAAAATAAGTAGGAATAAAAATAAAAATAAAGGAGAATATAGCATGTAATTTAAAATTAAATATTTCATTTTGTATTCATACTTAGTTTCCATTTATGTTGTATCTTCTAACATATATGAATTCTTAATATTTAAATACATTGTCACCCACTATATCTCTGATACCATCTTTTATTTCTGTATCTGACAACTTCTTCTTATTTTATATATACTTATATTTATTTTTTATTTTCAACATGTTTTGTATCTTTTGTAGCCCTGAAGACGACCTGCAAAGTCTAAAGCGATATATTTCACTCAAGTCACTTCCTCTTCTTCTCCTCCACTTCTTGCTAAATGGGCTGCATGGTCAGCTTTTTCATTCCCTAATATTCCACAATGAGCTGGCACCCATACCAAGATAACTGTTATGCCTTTATTTTTTACCTCCCACCAAATGTTGAGTATTTCTCTAATTATTGAGTTTCTAGCATATGGGTTAAAACACTGTATGAGTCCGTCACAACTACTCAGTAGTTCTTTTTAGCTTCGCTTATAAAGCATTCATGATGGCCTCTACTGTGAATACGGAGCATTCTGCAGGTAATTTAAACAGTAAGTGGTTCTCTTTACTCGCTAAAGCGCATCCTACGATATCTCCTTCCTTGGATGGATCCGTATATATAAAATATAAAATTTTATATTGTTCTATCAGTTTTAAAGATTTTTGTATTTCAATTGGATATGTTTTTGCAATTTTAGTCATGGATTTATTAATCACGGCTCTGTATATTTTTATTCTGGGACGGTTCTTACAATGCTCGTATTTATGTTTATTTTATTTATTACCTTGTAAATTACATGTTTAGTAAATTTAATCTAGTTTACACTGAAGCAATAGATAATTACTAAATAAAATATTTTATTTTTAGTAATCGCTTGCTATTCAACAAAAAAAACATAACGGAGAGAAGAAAACGAGTGTGGCGTTCAGTTGGGACACCCATTTATGCATTGGGACACACACCAGAATCGATGGGGGGTGCACTTGTTTAGTAGTTTTTTTCAGGCATGGTGTTTATTAATTATCAGATAAATGGGAAAATGTATAGCTAGGTGATAGACAATGTTTTGATTAATCTATTTTTATACACTTTTATGTAATAATCCTATATTTTCTACACGAAAATCCCTTTTTCATATTTCTACACTAGGTTTCGAAGTGATCATATCAACCATAAAAGATAATGTCCATTAATCGTAGAGTACTTGTATACGTTTATGTTTTAAATGAATGAGCAATTCTTGGCTAGATCGTGCCATGGTAATTTTTCCCGTTGTTCATCACTTGGTACATTCCATTTTTCACAGTTTAGTTTTATGATGTTGTTTGTCGTTATTGTTGGCAGAATTCTATAACAATTAAAAAACAATTAGTAATAAATGCCCTTTTCAATAATAATAATTCATTACTTTCATTTTAAAAAAAAAGTACGTCAAATACAACAACCATTAAAGTAGTAGTTGATCGAAAAAAGTAGTACTTGAAAAATATATGTATATATCTAATATAGAAAGTTGTATAAGGTTGTATAGAAAGTTCTTATATACATTCGGCATATTGCTTATATTTTAGGATGGTATTAAGGCTGATATCGTAAGACTCCGGTCTATATCTTATATATAAATGATATATATATCTTATATAAATATATATAAAAATATAAAATTATACAAAAATATAAAAATAATATAAAATCTTATATAGATATTATTTATTAGCCTCGATGGAAGACGCACTCATTCACCATCGCTTATCTTCCTTCATAGTTTTTCTGACATGGAGCTCATTAATTACCAGATAGATGGGGAAATGTATAGCTAAGTGATAGACAATCTTATTAATAAAATATGTGTAACACTTTTATATAATAATCCTATATTTTCTTCTACGTAAATCCCTGTTTCATATTTTTACACTAGGTATTGGAGTTAGAAATTTGTTCCGTTTGTTTTTGTAAGCTGTTTAGTTGAGATTTGATATCGCTTCATTTTTGTGATTTTATCTGTTTGAAGTAATGAAGACTCCTTAATTGGTGAAAGGTGTTCTGCTTTTTGTGAGAGTCGAAGTTTTGTTTTGGAATCTTACAAAATTGGTTTGATAATATTATTTTTCCTTCGTAATCGTATCGGCCACAAAATATATTGTCCATTAATCGCAGAGTATGCGTTAATGTTTTAAGTGAAAGAGCATTTCTTGGCTAGATCGTGCCATGGTAGATTTTCTCGTTGTTCATCACTTGGTACATTCCAATTTTCAGCGAGTAGTTTTAAGATATTGGTTCTCATTTTTATTGGCAAAATTCTATAACAATAAAAAAAAAATTAGGAATAAATGCCCTTTTCAGCCTTAATAATAATTCATTACTTTCATTTTATATATATATATATATATATATATATATATATATATATATATATATATATATATATATATATATATATATATATGTATATATATACAGGATGTCCCGTAAGTAGAGGGGAATATTTAAAAGGTTGATAGTAGACATTACGACATACAAAAAAGTTCTTATAAACTATTGCCTAATTTCGAGCAGAAAATAGAAAATTTTAGATTTATGTTTTTTTAAGCGAGTCACGTTTTTTGTTGAATTGGAAGCGATAACATAAAAAATATCTGATTAAAGTAATCAAACATCGCTCCATATTAAATTATACAAAATTTAATTAAAATTAAAGTAGAGTTTGCCTTTGTTAAAACTATTTAAAGAGGACTTAAAGAGGAGGCAGACAAACATAGCTAAGTTCCCTTTAAAAAAAATCATAAATTATTTGTAATTTGTTTTAATCACCCATCAAACGTTTACCTCACTTTTAGAAAAACTTCCTCATTTATTAAGCTTAACGTATATATCAATTAATTTGAGGTTTATTAGAAAATGTTTGAGATTCACCTCTAGTTGTGTAAAGAAATTATGTTATTTTCTTTCAAGTCACCTAAAATTACCTTTGTTTTCTGTAAAAATAACTACAATTAACTGTTGCAAAGCTTTTATATCTTGTTTTTCTGTGATATAGTATCCTAAAAACATATTTTATTTATAAAAATAAAAAAATTGAATAAAATGATGATTTTACAAATATTTTTCTTGTAAGGTGATTATGTAATTGTGTTTTTTCTCCGTCATAGGAATCGATAAGTATTTATCAGTGACAAACTTAATGTTTCTAACTAAAATTTAAGTATAAAATAAAGAAATCTACTGATTGATTAAAATATTTTCATGATAAAGTAAATATTAGAGCTAGAAACATTAACTTGACACTTATAAATAAGCATGAATTCTTATGAATTGAGTATATAAGTGAACATTATAGTAAAATAAAGTAGATAGAATAATAACAATAACAAGAAATACATAATAATAACGGCTAAAAAGTACAGACTAATGAAGTAAACACAATGAAAATGAGGTAATATAAGAACTAAAAATGGTAATCTTAGAATAACATGTAAAATAGAGAAAAGGAATATGAAGTTATAAAAGAAATAATTATAAATTGAATCAAGGTGGCTTACTTGAAAAATAATTATTTTTAAATGTTTTATTTATACAAATAAAATGTGTTTTTAGACAATTAAGTTTATTACAATACAAACCATAACAGGCAAAAGCCAGACATAAAAGCTTGCCAATAGTTAATTGTAGCCATTTTTCCTTAAAATACGCGTACTTTAAGGTGACTTGATAGGATATAACATCATTTATTTACACAACTTGAAGTAATTCTTAAAAAATTTTCTTATAAACCTCAACCTAATTGATATAGACTTAAAGATTATTAAACAAGGAAATTTTTCTGAAAGTGAGGTAAATGCAGTCAAAGACTGATTAAAAAAATCTCAGATAATTATGACTTTTTTTAAACGCAACTTAGCTGTATTTGTCCGCCTAATATTAGTGTTAACAATGACAAACTCTACTTTCGTTTAAAGTTAATTTTGTCTAGTTTACTATGGAGCAATGTTTAGTTACTTAAATAAAATATTCTTTTAAGTTATCGCTTCCTATTCGACAGGAAACGGGACTCGCTTAAAAATACACAAATCTTAAATTTCCTACATTTCTGCTGGAGATTGGGCAATACTTTATATAAACTTGTTTTGTAGATCTTGACGTCTATTATAAAACTTTTGAATATTTCCTGATACTTACAACCTTAGAAAATTTATACATTAGTCAAAATTTATACTTAATATGAAAATTTACATAAAAACATCTTATATCAAATGTTCCACGAGCCATGGATTTACATACACTTGCGAATTAGCATATTATATTTATGAATGTACGATTTACATTTACATTATTTTTGCTATTGATATGTATGAAATTGTAATTAAATGTTTGAAAGTATTAAAGTTAACGATTAAATTATTGTATTACACTTAAATTTCTAAATTAAAAGAAATACCCATATCTAAAATATAATAATACAAAACATATTAAATTAAATTAAAAGTATAACCTTGAAGTTGTATATAATATCTATTCTCAACAAATGTTAGAATAAAAGCACCAATAGTTGACAATGTACTAATACCTGACACCCTCCTCGATAAACGGAATTATAAAATGTCAGTACCTCCTAGACCCCTATTGCATATATTTTTAGTTTCTATATTTTCTCCTTGTATTTTTGTCAGCTTTTCTTTAGTCTTTTCGGAAATCACAACCGAAATAATAAGTGGAAAATTAGGAAGGTTCCTTACTGCCAACTTAGTGTCCCATTCGTCAGTAAGAGGAGCATACCTTAGCATACCTTATCAATAAAATCCCGTTAATCCCGTATAGCCTAAAAGGCAAGGTAGGGATGAAAAAAAAAACCCAAAAAAAAAACGTTTTTTTTTTTAAATTCCTGATGTCAAATATAACTAATTTAGATAGATAGACAGATAGATAGAAAATAACTTTATTGTGGGTCACAGCCCCTTGAGAATAAATAGAATAAATTAAAAGATTACATCTGACCAAAATAAAATCAATAGAAAAAAAAGAAAGAAATAATGTAAAGAAAATATAAGGTAAACATTCTATATACAAAACATACGAAACTATTTACAAAACAATTAACACTATGACAAAACACTTAAAGCTATTTGCACTGATAGACCAGTATACACTTTTAAGAAAACAATAAAGAATTAAAAAATAAAAATATATTAAATTATTCATTAAAATAAGCTTTGTAGTTCTGTTGAGAAAACAGAAAGCTGAAGCTGACAATGTAAAGTCCCTGATTAATATATAAATAAATTGTCATTTAAATGTTGATTAATGTATAAATACATCATCATCATTACTTAACGTAACAATATGCAAGAATATAGTAGTGTATAAAAGATAATAGTTATAAACTACCAATAGATGCGTTCAGTGACATCAAGTGTAGGAAACCTTTTAGCCTATAAGAAAATTAATATCCCTAGCAAAGAATAGTATTGATATTTGACAATGAATGACATGAAGTAAATGTATGTTGTCAAATGGTTAGCAACTATCTGAATGTTTTTGGGATATGCATTGGAATAGGAGGGTTTTGAATGTGGATATGGAGGGGGAATGTCGAATTTTGATAGGGATGGAATTCCAGAGATTGACAGAGCGAGCAATAAAGGAGTTTTGGAATGAGGCTATGTGTGAGAAGGCATGAAAGGTTAGAAGGTCTTGTACACAGGGAATGGACTGAGGATTTGAACTAGAGAAGGTTGTAGGCGTAAGAAGGACGATGGTTGTTGATGATTTGGTAGAGGGACGTACCTAGGAAATATTTTCTTTGGAAGGAGGGGAAAAGCCACTTTAACTCAGCGTAGTGGTGAGAGACATGGGAGTGTCTTGGGGCCCCGATCACAAATCTTACGCTGCTGTTCATTAGTCTTTTCAATCTATCACGGAGCCCCACAGAGAGGCCATCATACACCGCACAGCTGTATTCAAAGTGGATGAAAATGAGAGAGGAAACTAGGAGTCTACGCGATGGAATAGTTTGAGCATGTAAATTGTCCGTCGAGAGATATGAAAAATATGGTGATTCCAGAAAAGGTTTTTATCAATGAAAAATCCTAAATTTCTAACAGAGGAGTTGAAGGAGATTGGCTGTCCATTAAGGCGAAGGAGCAATGGCAATGGCCTGAGTTTTGGCAGCATTTAACCTTAATCCGTTTACATTTGCCCAGGCACTGATTCGATCTAGGTCTTCTTGGATCTTCTGCAAATACTCCCAATAACTCGGGAGGGGAAAATGAAATTCTAATGCGAATCATAATAATAATAATAAAAGGCTTAGCGAACCCGAAGGTTCGATGCCGACACCACCAATCGCTTATTTCATACCTCCCTCCACCGTTCGCCCTCCAAACCCAGTCCCTTCAGATCGGCTTTAATACAATCTTCCCACCTTCGCTTCGGTCTACTTCTCGGACGCTTACCATTCGGCACAGCAAATATTAATCTTTTAGGAATTCTCTCGTTACTGAGCCCAACAACTTTACAAGCCCATTTGATTCGCCGCGATGAAATTACCTAAATTATATTACCCGGATACAGCTCACGCAATTCGGCGTTGTGTAACCGTCTGAACTCTCCGGTTAACTCATCCTTCTTTGGTCCGAATATTCTACGCAATACTTTATTTTCAAAAACATTAAGACGCTGCTCATCCCTTAGTGTTAGCGGCCAAGTTTCGCATCCATAAAGAACTGTAGGCAAGATAATTGTTTTATAGATTCTAATTTTTAAGTTCCGGGACAAGAGGCACGAACTAAATAGTTTTGTCACAGAAAAATAATAAGCATTTCCCGCCTTCAGTCTAACCTTAATCTCTTCTTCAATTTCGTTTCTTCTAGTTATCGTAGAACCTAGGTACCTAAATTTCTCTATCTGTTCAAACATATTGCCCTCTATATCGATATCACCAGTAGTATCGCCATTTTTGCAGCTAACCATATATTTTGTTTTATCCATGTTTATTTCGAGTCCTAGTTCTTTACCGGCTTTCATTAACGTTATCGTATTTAGTTTTATAGTTTCAACGTATTCGCTTAACAGTACCAGATCATCAGCATAGCCCATCACGGATGTTGTCCCGCCCAGATCCAACCCTTTCTCGGTTCGCATTACCTCTCTAATGGCATGTTCTAATGCCAAATTAAACAGGACAGGCGAAAGAGAATCCCCCTGTTTTAAACCCGAACGAACCTCAAATTTTTCGGACAAATTATTACCGATTCTAACTTTATTGAGTGTCTCCGTCAAGCACATCCTGACTAGATTTACTAGTTTTTTTGGAATCCCCAGCTCGATTAGAATATTATACAGTTTCTGGCGGTCAATAGAATCGTCAGCCTTTTTAAAATCTATATACAGCTGGTGAACAATACCGTTATACTCCAATTGTTTCTGTAATATTTGCCGTAAAGAAAATATTTGATCAATAGTCGAACGATTCCGTCTAAATCCGCATTGGTAGTCTCCGATAATTTCCTCGGTGTATTCCGTGATTCGACTGGTTAAGATTAAAGTGAATATTTTATAACATACCGGAAGGAGTGAAATTCCTCGATAGTTATTACAATCCGTCCTCGGACCTTTTTTATGAATCGGAATAAGATTAGATTTTTCCATTCTTCAGGTAATTTCTCGTTCACCCAGATCTTTTTAATCAACCGATGTATTTTAGAAACTCCAGCTTCCCCGCATGCCTTAATTAGTTCAGTAGGAATATTATCGGTTCCCACTGATTTATATGATTTTAATTTTCTGATAGCTACTTCAACTTCCTCTTTACTCGGTCCTTCTATCAACGGTTCAGCACTCTGGTACTCAGAAGGAGGACACAGATTATAATTTCCCGTATTTAAAATATTGTCAAAGTGGTCCTTAAACTTATTCAATATGTCAACCGGATCGGTCAGAATATTGTTATTATCATCCCTGATTCCAGACGTTACGGGTCCTACACATTTACGTGATCTGTTTATACCTTTGTACATGTTTCTTACGTTATTTTCGATTCTATTCTATAAGTTTTTGTCGAAGTTTCGCGATTACTAATTCATGATCCGACCCACATTCTGCTCCGCGATAAGACCGTACATTAATTATACTGCTTTGCCAGCTGTGTTGTATCAAGACATGATCGATTTGATTTCGTGTTTGCGAATCCGGTGATGTCCAAGTATATTTATGAATATCCTTATGTTTAAACGTCGTACTTTTAATTATCAGGTTTTTCGAGATGGCAAAGATTATCAGACGGATCCCATTATCATTACTATATTCGTGCAAACTTTCTTTACCAATCGTCGGAATATAAACTTCTTCCCTTCCTACCTTTGCGTTCGCGTCACCTACAATTATTTTCATGTAGTTTCGCGGTAGTTTATCATAAACCCATTCGAGTTTATCGTAAAATTCATTTTGACTTCATCGTCACTGTCTTCGGCCGGACAATGTATGTTTATTTATGCGATTTTAAACCAACGTCCCTGAAATATAGCTACCGAAATTCTATCACTAAAGAATTGTACGTCCCTCAAAGCGGATAGTAATCTACTCCTAATTAGAAACCCGGTACCTAAACAATGATTCCCGCTTCCTCCGTACCAAATAGTGTACTTTCCTTCCCTCATCGAGGCCTCCCCTGGCCAGCGAACCTCTTGCAGAGCCACGACATCCAAATTGTTCCCATTTACCTCATTCGCGACCGATTTTAGCCCCCCTGCTGTGTTTTAACTCCTTACGTTCCACGTACCAATATTTAAATCCCTATATTTCAACTTGCGCCATGAATTCCCTAAAGCAGTCCCCACCCGGAGACCCGAACGGGGGACTAGTTTACCTCCGGATAATGAGCGTTTTACCTTAGGGAGATCCATGACTATTTGTAGTGTTTGGTGAACTAAAGATATGAGAGTAGGGCGTTCAATCCTACGTCACACACTCCAGCAAGTCTGGTGGACCCTACCTCCAGCAAGTCTGGAGGACTTGTTGGTCAGCGAGTCCATCGGACTTAGCCGGGAGGAACAATTTCCACCGACCATCCCCACATCCGCCACCCGTGGGACGCTCTCCATACGCGGTAATGGGCCCGCGTGAGGCTAATGCAAATCATACTTAAGTAAAAATATCTCTCTATTAATTTTTGAGCAGTTTATATATTCCATTTATAGTGAATAAAAAAAAAGTTATACTTACAGTACAGTTGTATATTTGTATTTACTTACCGAGATAATATAATGGCTGGATACTTAAATGAGGAAGGTACGGTCACTTCATCATTGTTGTAATGGATAGCGTTCAGCGTTGCTTCCACTACTTCTTCCATTTCTACGACCGTATTTATCCTGGAAATTGTATTATTTTTCAAAATTTTTATAACTGTTTGAAAAAAATATATATTGTGAATATAATATATAAATTTATACAATTTAATTTATATAGGATGTTATAGTTGCCAAACTGAAAATATGAATTAAGGACCTCAAAAAAAAAAAAAAAAAAAAAATCCTATGAAGGTCCAAACGCTTTGGACAAACGCTTTGTTTAGAAGATATTCACACCTGAAGATTTTCATTGTTATGAATTATTTACGTTATACACTGACAGCCAAAAAATTCCACCCACTTGATTTTTTCATGTTTTCATCTAAAAATATTTCAGCTTTGGATTGGTAATCTTTTTGTTTGTTTTCAATTAGGAATTTTAATATAGAGAACAATAACCCTTAATCCTTAATTCAATGAAATGATTCTAGATTCCAATGTTTACTTTCTATGGAATCAAAATGTTTATTCAGTATTATTAGTTCAGAGCCGTTTCTTGCAGCACATTTCTTAGTCTCCTGCTTTTAATTTTTTCAATATTAAGTTTAAAAATGCCTCTTAGTGCTGAGGATGTTGCGCGTGGTGTGGCACTTATTGATGATGGACGTTCCATTAGATATGCAGCTAATGCCATCGGAGTTCCATATGAAACTTTACGAGACGCCGTCAGGCGTTTTCGGGAAACTGGTTCTTACAATAGAAGGCCCGCTTCTGGACGGCCTAGGGTAACAGAACCACGGGATGACCAGTTTTTGACTTTGAGAATTTTACGAAACCGGCTCCTTACCGTTGTTCAAGTGATTCATCAGCTCGAAGAAGTTCGAGGTGTGCAAATTTCTGAACGTACCCCGCTCGAAGAAGATTAAATGAGTATGGATTAATGGCTTTTCGTCCAGTAAGAGGACCAAAAATATTACCTATTTATTCATTAAAATCAATAGATCAATCAAAAGCAGAAATATTTTTAGATGGAAACATGAAAAAATCAAAGGGTAGAATTTTTTGCCTGTCAGTGTATTAAGTAAATAAAACTTATTTATTTGTTCCAACTACTTCATTTATTAAACGTGAACATTAAGACAGGCTCGTCATCTTTCTTCAGCTGTGGCATAACGGCACTGGATATGTGTTATTGTTTCACAAGATTCAATTATCCTTCTTCGTAAGGAGTTAAGGTCACTGAACGGATTTGCATAGACTTTTTGTTTAATGTAACCCAGACAAAAAAATCCAGTGGTGTCAGGTCTGGAGAGCGTATAGGCCAAGCATAATAGGCATTTAATTAATAAAGTAGTCAGAACAAATAAATAGGCTTTATTTATTTCATGTAACGTAAATAATTCATAGCAACTAAAACCTTTAGGTGTGAATATCTCCTAAACAAAGCGTTTGCGGACATACTTTCAGAGGATTTTTTTTTCTTTTTTTGAGGTCCTTAGTTCATTTTTGGAATTTCGCCACTTAGATATTTATGCTTCGCATTATCTTTACGCATTGAGTAGCGTTTCACGGGTGGCGGACGTGTGGAAATTCCTTTGATGTTCCTCCTGGCTAAGTCCGATTGACTTGCTGACCATTAATGAGAAACTCTCTAGACTTGTTGGAGGTGACGTAAGATTGAACTCTCTGCTCACTTATCTTTAGTTCACCAAATATCAAATAGTCATGGATCTTCCTAATATTGCTATCCACTTTGAGGGGTATACAACTCTTTGAGGGGTTTTAAATATACATTTTGATGGCCAAGTTATGATAAAGTTCGAGTGGGTTTATGACAATATTCTGTTAATCTGCGTGAAAATAATTCTATTAGCAATTTATTTTAGTTTGTTTTCTGATGACTGGTAAAGAAAGTTTACATGAAAATAGTAATGCTAATGGAATCCGGCTGGTAAAATTTACCATTTCAAAACAAAAACATAATGATTAAAAGTACTACGTTTAAACATAAGGATATTCATAAATATACTTGGATATCATCGGATTCACATGTAGGAAATAAAATCTAATATGTAGAGAAACTGGACTCTATGTCCTCTTTGAGAACGATTTCCCTCAGTTGGTGACCGAAGAGAACTTCCCTTTCTGCAAGAACTTTATTTACGGGTGGAAAACCGCAGTTGGCTCTGCTCATTTTCATATTCCAGAAAGAGGACCATTTACTGGACGGCCGCCGGAGAGAGGAGGTGAAGAAGAAGAAGATGGGAGCCACCTGGAAGATGGAAGATGATGACGCCGATTTAACATGACCGCTGGAAATTAATTGGTAACATCCCGCAAAGTTGCTGATACCCGTTTTGCTCAAGGGCAAGGGAGGGAGAATAAATAAATAAATGTAGGAAATAAAATCGATCATATTGAAAAAATAATGGTTTCGTGTAATTACTTTATATGAATATCAAAAAGGCCTATGATTCTATTGCCCGCCAGAAGCTTTAAGGTGTTATTTTATTTTCTTTAAAAACTTCAAATAAATATTTTGTAATTCCTTATACTACATTAAAGTAAAGGTTTCATAAGTGTAAGTAAACGTTTTCGGAGAAATTAGAACCACATAAGACAAAAAGGCCATATTTATAATTTTATTCGTAAAATTTAAATCCTTACGTTCAAGTGAGTTTGTTAAGTGGTCATTTTTCAATCGATTGAAAGCATAGGCATCTTATTTATAACCTTAGCCTGATCAGAGCCTCTGAGCAGTTTCTTTTAATTTTAATAATAACCATTCCATTTCGGTCGCTCAAGGTTCCGTGGAATAAATTATGTGTTATTGAATGGAACTGTTACTTAGCATAACCGTTGTAACCGTTAGTTTACAACGAGCATTGTCATATTAATACAATAGTATTATAGAGAGTATGATAATTAGTGAAGGATATGACAATGAGTGACGTTTTGAATCATGAACTGAAGGTCGCCTAAAACACATCTTCATCCATTAATATATGAACTTTAGCATATACTCCATGGTAGAGGCCCTTTTTACTTTCACTTACCTATATACGTAATATATAGTATGGGTAAGTATTGCGATCATGTAAATTTTCGAATCTGAGTTTTCAACGGAAATACACGTTTTGAGGTAACCTGAGTCCAAATAACCAATTCCCTCAAAATGGTGTGTGTGTGTGTGCGCTGCGTGTGCATGTGAACAACTTAACTCAAAAACGAAAAGTCGTACGAAATCGAAATTGCGTATTTGGTGTTTTTATAAGCCTGGATTGTTAAAGCAGCATTTTCAAAATCATCAAAATCGGTAAATCGGAAGTGATACTTTATATCTTCGATTTAACACATTTTTACGATTTTCTCAAAAACAGCTGTAACCATTTTGATTAAACTCAGTATATCATTTTATTATTAAGGAGTTTTTAATATAATGTAGGTTTTTTTCTCTTTATGTTCCCTAACGGGGCTTAAATGGATAATTTTCAATATTAGCTTTCTCTAAAGTACCTTTATTTTGTTTAATTTGAAATAATTAACCATTTCACACTATTCTTTGATATAAAGCTCGTGAATAGTGTCATTTCACCGTGATCTACAAATATTTTATTTTCGAATGAATATTCTCGGAATTGGGGCGTTTTCAGTCTGGAGATCAGAAAATTTTGTCTATTTAACAGGTACTAAAAACTAATGAATAATCATTTGCTTTCCACTTGAATCTTGAGGTATGATCACAAAATAAATAAAAAGGGCGGCCTTAAAATATATTGCACCGTTTGGCCTATTGAACCTCATTATTTTGGCATTTTGCGAGTGGAGGCCACGCAAAACGGACCAATATTTTCATAATTAATATTATGAGTTACCTAGATCAATAAACGTTGATGAATGGAGGTAAAGAATCGGGACTCAGAAATGGTCAGCTGTTAAAAAGGGCTATAATTTCCGTGACATATGTATATACGTATGTTTGAACAGGTAGAGAGGTTTATATATTTACGGATTATGATTAGCAAAAAAAGTAAAATATTATAAAAGTAAAACGGGAGTTAAGACCAGGTCGAACGAGGAAAATGCATGTTATTGTTCTGCAGCAAAACTACGTTCTGCCGTTCTTTATAAATGCAAAACCAGAGTATTTAGAGGACAGTATAAGCTACTTGAAAGCTCTTTGAAACGTTGCTTTAAAAGTAATAACTGGTTGTTGGGATAAGTAAAATTTTAAAGTAAACTCTAATAAAAGAATATTTTAAGACATTATTTTATTTTAAAATTAAGCGAAAATCCAAACAAAGAAGGGACACCCCAATTTTTTTAATTTTTATTATTTTTCTAGTCTCTTATCTTCCTCTAGTATTGTTTGACAATGTTAAGATTTTTAAATTA